GTGTCGGACCAGAGCAGAAGACTGTCTGGGAACCATAAACGCCAGCCTTGCAGAGGACGGGCAAGCAGGGCTGGCCTTCCCGACTTTGTTCTGCCCCAAGGCTGCTGGTAGCTTCTGTTCTGTTGTCAAAGATAATTTAGCTGATTTTTTTTCTCCTCAAAGATTTTGAAGCACTTAAAAAAAGACTCCACTGTGAAAATGTCATAAGATTGGGAGTTATTGTCTTAGTTTATTACCCAGCCCTCCAGATGAGAGTTTCAGGCTGGGAATTAGGGCCTTTCTATTTTTGATGTCCCCATTTCTCAAAATAGTGGTGTGTGAGCGGACTCACTGGCCCAGATTGCCCAGCGGGGCCCCTGGGTCTGGGACAGCACCTGCCACAACTTTCAACTCAATTCAACACTTTGTTCAAAGCTACAAGGGGCCCTTCTGCATTCAGCAAGTTCCACAGGCCAAGACTCAAGGAAATGGACTCATCCCAGGATCTCAGAAGGAGACTGATGGCTTCTCTGAGAAATCATCGAGTAAGACCAAAAAGTGTGTAATTTTCTTATAAATTTATAGGTATGCTTAGAAAAATATAAAGTGCTTTCTTTCCTCATATTGACCACTTTATTTCTTTCACTTGCATTTCCCTGCCAACGCTCCCAAAACTTGGGAAGGAGAGAGTGGCCCATTGATGGAGGCAACCAAGTGGTGCTTGAATGGCCACTTGGGAGTGTATGACGGGCTTTTAAGCCTTGGCTGAGGGCTAAGTTAAATGACCTCTCAATCCCCTTCCAGCCCTTGAAGCCCTTGCTATGCTGAGGGCTGAATGGGGGTCAGAATGAAGCTTGCATGGTACAGCGCAGCCCATGCCTGGAGCCCCAGATCCTGGCAGCAGGGTATTAGGGCAGGCACTTTACATGGTCCTCCCACTGTGGCCCTGAAACCCATCCTCACGTGACCAGGAACTGAGGATGGACAGTTCTATTCAATGGCTTTAGGACACAATGACACCTGTCCCTCTTATCTCTGCTTTCCAAGAAGTGGACAGGGCACCCTGCACCAGCCCAGGGAGGAGAGGTCAGTCATTGCTGTCCTAGGAGGCTTCAGTGTCCCAGAGAGGCAGAAAGCTTTCTGAATATTAGGCAGAGTAGCTGGAATTTTTAGAATACCAACCAAGTGTCAAAGGGACGCGTTGGCCGCCCCGTCCTCCTTTGTTCCCATTGGTCCTTCTCAGTCCCCTCAGTGTGAAGACGATGAGGAGGAAGAGCTGTGTGATGATCCACTTCCACTTAGTAACTAGGAAATATACTTCCTCTTCCTTACGATTCTCTTAGCAACATTTCTTTTCCAGCCTACTCTATGCTGAGGAAACAGCATGTAACACATACAAAAAATACGTGTTGATTGACTGCCTGTTATTAGTAAGGCTTCTGGTCAACAGAAGGCTGCGAGTAGTTAGGTTTGGGGAGAGTCAAAAGAAATATAAAGATTTTTTTTTTTTTTGAGACAGAGCCTCAAGCTGTCCCCCTGGGTAGAGTGCCGTGGCATCACAGCTCATAGCAACCTCCAACTCCTGGGCTCAAGCAAGTCTCCTGCCTCCACCTCCCAAGTAGCTGGGACCACAGGTGCCCACCACAACGCCTGGCATTTTTTTTGGTTGCAGCCGTCATTGTTGTTTGGTGGGCCCGGGCTGGATTCAAACTCGCCACCCTAGGTGTATGTGGCTGGCATCTTAGCCACTTGAGCCACAGGCACCAAGCCGAAGATTTTCAACTATGCTCACTTTCCCATTGTTCAGAGTTAGACTAACCCAAATCTTATTCAAGATGTGGGCGCCTGTGGACATCGCAAACAAAAAAGAATACTTAGCTTTGTCTCCAGCGCCATCTCTAACGACGCCTGGGGTTTTGTCTGCAGCCTATCACTGTTCTTTGGTCTTGGGCTAATTCTTGCTCAGTCACCTGCTTCTGAACACCTTTTGGAAGTCTCTTCCCATTGGCTGGTGACACGTGCAGACTCAGAGGTGACATGTGCATGCTTTTGGCAAGACCTCTGAGGGTGACCCATTTCCTATCCAATTCTGGGACGAACTGTGTTCACCAATTAATCATGGTGACCCCACTCAGCGCCTCGCCATCTCAACTTCAGACAGAGGGAGCCAAACTGCAAAGCCGGGAGATGTCCAGGCTTGTGACAGGCAGGCCTTGCCTAGTGGGTGGGGTGGGGTCCAGCCTCTAGGCTGAGGCAGGACAGCCAGTCCTCGGCCCTGACCCCTCTAAGGCCTGGAACAAGAAGGATGAGGGGGTCTCTATAGCACCCACTTGTCTCTGGGAATGGAAACAAGGGACAACTCAGGAAGCCCGAGGGACTGTCCAAGGGCCTATGGAGTCTAGGGCTAGCCAAGGCTGTGGAGATATATCCTGGGTCACAAAGTGGAGGCTGCACCTGATGGGAACCAGGGGCGGGAAATTAGGACAATCACTTTCCCCCAGGCTGCCGCTGCGTGTTGCTGCTGCGGTCACACCTGCCTGTCCATCTCAGAGTAGCCCTTGGCTGCTCCAGTTCCTAGTGAACAACTGCACCTGCAGCCCAGAGGCGAGGGGTCCTCAGGGGCCAGTATGGCTGGCCAACCTGGGCAGTGGTGGTGCCAGCCCCCTGGGGGAAGAACATGCCAGGCAGGCAGCTTCAAAACCTGGAGTGTGAGGTGGCAGGAAGGGGCTGAGGCAAAGGGAAAGACAAAGTCAGAAGACAGAAAGATGCTCCAGAAGGACCAGAACCAAGGGTCCCGAGAGCAGAAACGTGTGTGGCTCCCGGGGGTCCTACCTGCCCTCCTCTGCACCTGCCTTTGGGGACGCTCCACCAGCTCTGCCCCCACACTCCCTGGTCCGCCTCATCTGCTCTCTGTGGCTCTACATTCCCCCCAGGTGGGACCACTCTCAAGGACGGAGCCAGGACGGTCATTCACAGCCCCTGAGATGCTGGAGGGAAAGTCTGTGGTAGCACACAGAGGACAGCCCACCTGCAGCCTGGGCTGGTTGTCTGGGGAGAGGCAGCCAACCCTGGGGTGGGATGAGAGAACAGAGCTCCACACGCTCGGCTTCCCTGGGGCTGGGAGTCTTGTGGTTGGCTTTAGGCTGCTGCAGGGACCTGGGACTGTTGGGACAGGGAAAAAGATGGGTGTGGTGATGAAGAAAGACCCAGGTTCCCAAAACTAGCAGACTCCAGGGTCAAATTCCAGCTCTGAGGCTTATGCTCTACACTGGGGGTAACACGGAATAATATACAGCAGCACTCGGCTCAGCACCTCACCAATGTGGTACAATCAATAGGGGAGATAATACCACTGATGCTGTTGATGTCACTGTCACTGCCATCACCATCTCTATTGTCACCATCACCATTGTCACAGTTCTTGGGAACAGAGCAATAATAAACATTCCTTAATTTACCAGACACTGTATGGCTCTCAGAGGGCTTGGTTCCTTTTGTTCCCTAGGGGTAGGGTAGGGAGGGGACCATAGTGTTGCCCAACCTTTGAATGGGAGGGCTGAGGTTCAGAGAGGTTGACCATCAGCCCCAGGTGACACAGCCGGGCTGCAGATTAACCAGGATAAGAACAGCTAGCAGTTGCCATTCAGACGTGACCTGGCCCTGGTCAGCCTGGACTATGGGCAGGACATCTGCTGCACAGGTCCTCCAGGTGGTGGGACTTGTCTGCCCAGCTCCTACTCAGCATGGGCTTCTAGGCTGGGTATGAAGGAATGATCATCAGTGAGCACAGCCTCCCCGCCGGTGGAGCCCACCAACAGTGCTTCATCATAAGACGAGGGGAAGCTTGGCAAGAACATCCAAGTCTGCCGAAAGGGGAGTGGTGTGAGCAGCGCCCTGGGGCCAGGGTACTACTCCACACAGCTTCCCTGTGCCTGTCCTTATGTCTCCAGGCTGTCTTTTATCTCTCATCTATCCACCTATCTACCTGTCCATCCATTCATTCATGCCACTGTCATATCTATCTATTTATCCATCATTTATCTTCTAACTATCCATCCATCTCTCCTATTATCTATCCATTTGTTCATTCAACATCTATCTATCGATACGTGCATTTGTCTATCACCTATCCATCTATCCATGTACCTATCTATTCTCCATCTAGCCATCATTAATCTATTTATCTATCTACTCACATCTATCTGCCCATCCATCCTTGTCTATCTATTGCCTATCGGTTAGGGTAGGAGCCTTTACCATGAGCTAAGAAAGAATTAGGAATAGATTTGAAGCAAGACATTTATTTTACTTTCCAAGAGGGTAAAGGGCATGGCATGAAATAAAGAAGAAATTTTGGCCCCAGGGATGAGTGTCTTGGGGGTTTATTGGCGTTTAGAGGGCAGTCATTGCTGTAAAATGATAACTGAAGGCAGTCATGTTTGTTTTTTCTCCTCTGCTAGGCTAACTTTATTGGACTTCTCAGAATGTGTTCTCACAGATGTGGAGGAGGCTGCAGGCCCTTTCTGTCTGTCAGATACTTTTCAAGTGCTATAAAACAAAGCTACAGGTGGTTAAGCAAACTAAGGGGCATCACATGCAGTTTTCCCTTTTAATGTTAGTTTACTAACAATGCCGTCCTTTCACTGTTCATCCATCATCTACCTCTCCATGGACCCATCATCTATCTGCCCATCCATTCATTCATCAGATTAGTGATTTATTGTCAGCTCTCTAACTCTATAGAATCTCTTGTCTGTCAATCATATGCTGCTCTTCTACCCAATCTTAACCCTCTGGACCTCTTGTTCCAGAGAGGAGGTCCAGGGAGGCTATTCACAGCCACTGATCTCCTGTACCCAGCCTGCTTCTTCCCTTCCTCGGTGGGTGACCTCCCTTCTCACCATTCCAGCACATCTACCCAAGTCCTGAGTTCTGGAACAAAATAGGCCATCAATGAATGTTAGCTATTATTTCACATAGGATAAACTTTGACTTAATTACTAGAAAAACTAAGACAACACTGGTTTGAACCATATCTAATTTTGTTTCTTGTTCATGAAAAATAGTTCAGCAAATAGGAAGTCCAGGACTAGATGGTGGTTCCATGGTCATCTGCGACCAGGCTCTGTCTGTGTTGGCCTCTAGCCGCACTGTCAGTTGAAACTGCTGGAGCTTCAGCCATTACATCTGTGTTCCAGGCCAGAGGAAAGGGGAAGGGGGAAATGAGTTAAAAAGGTGCATTTTTTTTCAGATGTTTGCAGGTTATTAAAAATAGTTGTATTGTGATATAATTTGCATACCATATAATAGCAGAGGTGGGCAACTGTCCCCACAGTCAATTTTAGAACCTTTTTACCATACTTTTCAGTGTTATCCCTCCACTCCCCAGCCCGAAGCATCCCCTACTCTACCTTCTGTCTCTGTGGATTTCCCTCTTCTGCGCGTGTCAGGCAGTCACACGTGTGGCCTTTTGTGCTGGCTTCTTCTGCTGGCCTAATGTGCTCGCGGTTCATCCACAGTGGACTCTGCTCCTCTTTGCAGCCCTGAAAGTCTCACATGACTCTTCTGCTTACAGCTGACTGGACAGAAGTTGATCACATGGTCATATCCAGCGGCAAGGGTGTCTGAGAGATAGTTCTTTCTGGCTGGACGTGTTGCTGTGCCCAGCCTAACCAGGGCTCTGCTGCTAAGGAAGCAGGGGAGAAAGGACAATAGGTGGCAGCCCCAAGCTCGCCATGGGGTGTGTGCTGTTCAGGATTTCACTGGGGATTTAACCTACTCCCTAACTTGAAGTCCTGTTCTGTCTCTAATTGCTGTGACAGGCCAAAGAGCCAGGCACTATCTGATAGTACAGATAGGAGTCCACAACATGCCCAGGTTGGGAGTCTCGCCCAAGGTCAGCAAAGTGCTGAGAATCCAGCCTGTCTCCTGCAAGAACAGGGTTCCTCGACCTCGGCACCACTGACATTTGGGCATGGCTCTTTCTCTGTTGTGGAAGGTTGTCCTGAGCATGGTGAGGGGAGACCTCTGCATACTAGATGCCGGGACAGCCCTCTCCGTCCCTGAACGAGACGACTAAATACGTCCCTAGACATTGCTGTCTCCTGGGCAGAGGACTCTATCACCCCCAAGGGTGAGAAGGGCTGTTCTGAAGCCACCTTCCTAACCGCCACATGCCCCTGTCCAGGGGATCCTGTCCTGTTCTCAGGGGCTTCCTGCATCCCTCTGGTGTGCGGGAAGTGGGCCAAGTGCCAAGCAGTTCAATGGAAATAAACGAATGCCCAGAGCCAGTCAAGGACGTGTTGGGCATGCTCAAAGGGCAAACTGCATGGAGACCAATGGCAGAAGCACAGAGGAGAAAAGCCACATTGGGGTCCAGGAAGTGCCTCCAGGGGGAGCTGGGACCATGCAAGGAGGGAGCATCCAGCATCTCAAGACCTCCAAGACCCCAGCTGCCTCTGTGCACTGAGCAAGGCCAGGCAGGCTCCTGGAGGGCTGCACTGCGACTGCAGCCAGGGCCACCCACTCTTCAGTCAGGCTCCCCGGGTTGTCACCTCCCCACTGAGGCTTTCCCTGAAACTGACCCGACCCTGGGTGGTAAGCCCAAGGCACAGTCCCACTCAGGACAGTCTCTGTGAAGCCTCCAGCTCCTGAACAGTACCTGACACGCTGCAGGAACTCGGCAGGGTCGTGTGCACTGCACGGTGCTGCCCGGCCAGTCCTCTGCCTGCCGCCATGTCTGCATCTGAGCATCGCCACACAGTCCGGTCTGTACCTTGTGTGTGCGGCGGGATCTCAGTAGCTGCCAGCCGAGTGAGTCTACGAGCGGAAGCCATGCTAGTGTCTGCTGATGCTGACCATCTCCCCCGGCACCACAGCTCCTGCTTCACCCCAGCACAGGGCTTGGCTGTCCCTGGAGAGCACAGGTGTCTCCACATCAGCTTGGGGAAGAGGGTGACTGAGCAAAAGGGAGGCCACCCATCCAGGAGGATGAGGCACTTGATTTCCAGACCCAGGGAGGATGATGACTTTACTGAAGGAGAAATAAATACACCCATACCTGCTGCTTCCAGGGAAATGTGCTCGGAGATCCTCAAGTCTGGCTCTTGCAGGTTAAACTTAATTAAGCCCAGAGTGTGACAAGAAGAAAATCTTCCAGGAACAGGTTTGGACCTCAATCCTGGATGGGCACCCCTCTGCCCTGGAGCAGCTGGGTGAGCTTGCCAAGAGACCTTCCCCCGCACCTGTACCTTACCCCCTGCCAGGGGAGGGGACCACCTGAGCCAGTCACCGTTGGGCCCTGCTGAAGGTCACCAAAGCCACAGGGACTGCAGAGAGCCCAGCCTGAGATCCTGCCAAGCTTGGCCTGAAGCCAGCTCAGCAGGTCTGTGAGGAGGCAGATTTGGGGGATGGAGGTGAGCGCACACCCTTTCAATAATTAAAACCGTTGTCTTTTAAAACAAAGATCACTGGGAGCCTGTGGGTGTCCCCAGAGGCCCCAGGCAGCTGTTGGAGCTACCTGGGAAGTCCCCCAGCACAACCAGGCCGATGCTGAGGTTGGCCCCTGAAAGGGAGGACCAGATGGTTAGCCCCTCTGCGCTGTTCACGGTGAAGCCTCCCCATGGACGGAGAGTACAGATGGTTTTCACCGACTGACTCCCTCGCCGGACCTGACCTCGCTGAGCTGTTCAGAATCACAAAATGCCTCCCAGCTCTTGGTTGCAGATGGTGCTGACCAGAAGGAGGGGTTCATATAAAGAGGCTCAGAGTATCCCATCTGCCCCCACATCCTTAGTAGCTGGGAGATCTTGGGGACACTGAGCCCTGGATCCTTGTGGAGTTGAAATAGTCAGCAGAGTGCTCAGAGCTGGCCCTTGGGAGGTATCACTACCTGCTCAGGTCTGAATGGCAGGGGTGGCCCACAGGCTCCAGAACTGGCTGTATCATCCTGTGCCCAAGACCTGGGCTCCTGCCATAACAGCAAGAGCTGCCAAGGGCCACCACAGTGCACACTTATATGTGCCCCTCATTCCTGCAGCCTGGCAAGGCAGTTCTGTTCTCCCCAGTTCACCAAGGATACAGGTCAGAAGCTAAGTCCAAGGTTACACCACTTGGATGTGGCTCTGTGCCAACATCTCTCTCTGTCCCCACATGTGCTGCTACTCACCTGCCTCTCCTGAGCTTCCTGTTCTGAGTCCCCACTGGCTCAAGACCTGTCTGGAAAGCCCAAAGCTCTGTGTCGCAGCCAGGCCCTCCAGGACAGGGAGAGGCCATTTCAGGGTCTCAGAGGAGAGACTAGGAGGCTTGGCCTCTGATGGCTTGGGCTGAGGCTCAGCTGTAGGTCAGAGTCAGCTTCCAGGCATATAGCACACCCTGACCAGCTCAGCCACATGGACAGCCAGGCCCTGCCCTTCCTCATTCTAGCCTTTTTTGGCTTTTCTCTATAGAAAAGGCAGGACTGATAACTTAAGGGCAGTCGAGAAGGAGGCCTCCTAGAGATCACCGTGCAGCTCATGTGATATTGCTGTCACCGCAGCTCTGGGCAAGCTGATGACTATTTTTTAATGGGGGGGAGCGCAGTGTCTCCAAGGGGCATCATTTTCTAGTCTGTGTGATGGCACCACAATGTGGAGCCTGGCCTTACTCCAGACCCTGTCTTCCTACTGAGATGGCTCCAGGGGCAGCACCTGATTCATTCATCATTCACCTGGCAAATATTTGTGATAACCATGGTTTCAGCGTCCACAGGGGCCAGTCTGCCCTGTGCCCATGTTCCTGGCAGGCCCTAGCTTGTGCCCCAGGCAGAGCAGCAGTGGCTGCTTCTCTGGGACAACTGTGGACAGCCACCTGCCTCCCTTAGTACCTCCCGCCCTCCACAGTCCTCCCTGGATCTGGACTCACTATCGTCCTCTTAGACTCTGTCCCAATTTATCATTGTGTCCTGCTCTCTGTAGGGCCAGGCTGAATTGAGAAGATAGCACCCTGCACCCCGAGGGAAAAGCTGATGCCCCACCCTTGGCTTCCCCCAAGTCTGGCCCAACGGGGCTTACCCCTACTTGTCAAGTACAGCCCCACTGCCTTTTGGGATTTTGTACCTGACTCCTAAGTCTGGTCAAGACATCCCTTGAAAGCAGAGGAAGTCTTAGAGATCACATCTATCAGCCTCACTTGTACCTGGGGAAACTGAGTACCAGGGAGGCCCCGGACCTGCCCCGGGTGCCCAGGGGCCAGGGCAGGACTGACTTGCACTCACAGTCCTGGCACCCAGGCCAGCCTGGGACTCCTTCCACCACCCCATCTCCTGCACCTTCACTGGCAGCACTGAGGGACTCAGCATCACCAACACGGTGCAGCAGGAGCCACCACATCTCCAGGTGTCTACCCCTCCTGGAATCAGACAACAGAAAAGGGCAGCGTCGCATCACGATGCTTTTCCATCATCACCGCTCCTGGCTTACGACAGGAGCCTGCATGAGCGTCAGGGGTTGACTGCTAACTGGGAGGGGGCGGCTTCTTTCCCCCAGAGAAAGAGAAGGAAAGAAACCCACATCTGACCTTGCCCTGGGAATCAGAGGCCCTGCTAAGCCTTGTACAGGCTTGACCTCATCCCTGTCCTATAGATGGGGAAGCCGCGTGTCCACGGGGCTCAGGTGCCCGACCGTCCTGGCTCCCAGCACACAAAGCCACAGTTCAAAGGTGGGATGGTCGCTTTCCTGGCCTATGACAGAAAATTTCCTGTCTTATCTATTCAGAAAGGACTCCTGGCTGTCACACTGGACTGGAAATACCTGTGCTCCAGGTCACAGAGTGGCCCAGGCCCTGACACAGAGACACCAGAATCGTCTATTTGCAGGTTGCTCAGAAGCTCTCCCGCCCCCTGTGTCTGGCCCCTCACCCACCACGTGATGGGGCTCCCTCAAGGCAGCTTCTGGGGTGAAGCAGGTGAGGGGGCCTGCTGGGCCCAGGCCAGGACCAGGAAGGAGGTGTGTGGCATGGGGTCTCGCACCCTCCCAAGGGCCTGGCTGTCTTGGGGTTCCCTACTAGAAAATGAATGGTGTCAAATGTTCTCCCCTATTCGTTGTAGGGAAAAATTCCAAGCTTCTGGAACATTCTGGGCAGCAAAGTTTGTTGAACTTGCCGGTTTATGTCCTTCTTGTGTTCCCAAAACATTGACCAGACCCACAGAGCAGGACAAACACTGGATGGTGCCCACCCAGGCCCCTCACTGCTCACGGCAGCCGGCTCAGCTTCCTGGACCTCTCAGCAGCCCTTGGTCTTGATCCTAATCTGCCCTTCACACTGTTGCTGGAGGAAGTCATTATGAAGTGCCAGTGATGGGTTCTACTCACTGCCTCCATCTCAGTCCTCAGCGGAAACTGAATTTGCCTGAAACAGCTCAAATGATGAGATTTTACTGGAAGAGTCTAGGAAGGGTGGAGGGAGCCCATGAGGCTGGAGTCGCACCACTGCAGGGGAAACCAGTGGCCGTGCTGGGCCTCGAGATGAGGGTGAAATCCGAGCCCTGGACC